CAGATTCTGTACAGAAATGAAGTTGATAAACTCACTAATGTGTTTTGATTTATTGAGAAGATACATTGATCTGTGGGAGAGTTTGGAGTCAAATTGGCCATAAGTAAACCAAACAAGAAAAGACAAATACTATCACTGGCCACCACAGAAAGAAAACATTGCAGAAGAGGAAAAGTAACCACAGTATATAGTACATGGCTTAGCTGTGATAGCATTCATTTATTTATGGTAATGTAAATATAGGTAATTACCTAACCAGTATGATGGTAGACTTATGTTAGGAGGTTGAGATTGGAGGTGAGGTAAGAAAAAGAGCTAGATTCCCAGAGGTCAATGGATAAGGCCTACAGTTGAAATGTCAGGATATAGCAGTTTGGGCATGGTATTAAAATATGGAGATCAATAGCAAAACAATTGGCTAATACAATGGAAGTGAGTGCTTCTGCAGAATAAGAAATTGGGTGAAAAGATGGCCTAGGGGAATAAGAAATTTTTAAATGTCTTGGACAATTGGCTCTTTAAACTTTGTGTGTATTATCTACACAAAAACAAATACGAAATTTTAAAAAGGAAGACCAACCTCTGCCATTCTTCCCTCCAAATTCCATATAACAATTTCCATTTAAGGGCCAGAGAATACTATCTCACTGTTCTTTGGATACAACTTAAAACTCTTGATATGGTATAATATTAACTGTAAACCACTCAAGTACAGAAATAAACCTCATATCCAAATCAGCATTTTGTCTCAGGTTGGAGAGGTCTCCTTCCTTCCTCCCCGAAATAGCAAGGCCAACTAATCCCCGTTCAGAGTCACGCAAGGCTTCCTCTGCACCGAGGCTCATCAGTCATGACTGCTATCCTCTCCCTCCCTTCTTCCCACTCATGTTCAGACATCTGCTCTGGTGGTAGTCTGACTTACACGTCTTCTCTCCCAGTTAGGTTATATTTAAGGGCATAATGCTTTATATGTGACATATAAGTAAAGAAATGTGTACATAAAAAACACAACTTCCTTCATATAAAATTAGAGAAGGGCCCTGGTGGGCAGCTCAGTTGGTCTGAGTGTCATTCCATACACCAGAAGGGTGTGGGTTCGATTCCCAGTCAGGCCACATACCTAGGTTTCGGGTTCAGTCCCCAGTCTGAGTGCAGGAGGCAGCTGATCAGTGTTTCTCTCTCACATCAATGTTTCTCTCTTTCTCCTTCCCTCCTTCTCTTTCTCCCTCCCTCAAATCAATGAAAACATATCCTCGGGTAAGGAATAATTACTACTAATAATAAAATTAGAGAAGGGGCATTGAGGACAGAGTCATCCATTTTTAATAATCATAACATTTATGATAACGATGATAATTGAATAAGGCCCTCCTGAGGACCATGGACCTTCCAGACTCTCAGAACCAGACTGGGACGGGAGTGGCCCTGGGCCGTGAATGACGTGGTAGCCCTGCTGTAACTGTGACCAGGACCGTGGTTTCGGACCTGCGCCTGGTTCTCAGATCATTAACACGAGAGCTATTCTGTCTGTATTGATTTGGTGTAACTATTTTTTATGCTCAAGATTAAATTACTTTCCTGGCAGCCATCCTGCGGAAAGCACCTGTACTCCCCACTCGTGACCTCTGGCTGATTGTGGACCGGAAAACAGAGCCAAGGCAGGACTGCCATTGGGGCTGATTGGGGTGGGGTCAGACTGACTGGACACGGGCAGCCCCCTGGGCCCTGGGAGGCTGGTGCTGAGCCCACTCTGTGACGTGACTGGGGCCCAAGAATAGGTGCTTCGCCCCTGTAGTGTATGATGCTGTTTATGAGCTTAGAAGAGCTGATGTCTGCATTATTCGGGCTTTGACTACTGCTTTTCATCTGCCTCCTTTTGTTCAGATCGACACCACTCCCTGGTAGCCCTTCAGAGCTGGCGGCACTTTGTGATCCTCATTTACAATTCTCTTCAGGTAGATCTGTGTCCTCAGTTTTTCAGGCAGCCATGCCCAGCAACTGCCAAGCAGACGGAACTGGAGAGCCCTCCCTTACTTCTGGATCCAGGGCTTCCTCTCACTCTCTTTTTCCCTTCCCTTCGTCTGTCAGTTAAGCCTAAGACTATTTGAAAATAATGATATAGTGCGTTCATACCATGGGGTAGTATTCATCAATAACAAGGAATGAACTATTGACATATGCAACAAGGTAGACGGATCACAAGGATATTTTGCTAAGTGGAAAAAGCCAGTCTCAAAAGATCACCTACAGTATGATTCCATTTATATAACACTCTTGAAACGATATAATTATCAAAAAGAACAGATTAGTGGTTTCCAGGGGAAGTGTGAGTTGCACAAGGGAGGTCTCTGTGATAACAGGACAGTTCTGTGTTCTGAATGTGGTGCTGGCTACATGAATCTACACATGTGATAAAATGATGCAGAATCATATGCATACTTCAGAGCAATGCAAGTCTTTTGGTTTTGATATTGGTACCATTGTTATATGACGTGTAGCCAATGGGGAAACTAGGTGGGGGATTTATAGAATCTCCCTGTATTATCTTACAACTTTCTGTGAATTTATAGTTATTTCAACATAAATTTTTCTTTCTTAAAAGGAGAAATGAGCTATTGTTCATACATGCAACAACATGGATGAATCTCGAAATAATTATGTGGAATGAGGGAAACTAGTCAATTAAGTACAAAAATATAAAGATGAATTGGACTACCTTAAAATTAAAAACTTTCATGGTGCAAAAACAATACCATCAAGAAAGTGATAAAACAATCCACAGGATGTGAGAAAGTATTTGCAAATCATATATCTGATAAAAAATTTATACATATAAATAAAATTCATTGTATGTATATATAAAGAACATTCGTAACTCAATAATAAAAAGACAAACAACCTAACTGAAAAATAGGCAAAATGGCCAACAGGTACATGAGAAGATACTTAATGTACCTCATTAGCTATCAGGGAAATGCAAATTAAAACCACAGTGAGCCAGCAGATCACACTCATTAGGATGGTAATAGTAATAAAAACAACAGATACTGAATGACAAGTGTTGGTAGGATGTTGGAGACATTGGGATCCCTTATGCACCATTGGCGAGAGTGTGAAATGCTGCAGTTCTTCAAAACGTTAAACACAGAGTTACCATGGGACCTAACAAACTCACAGCTAGGCGTATACCCATGAGAAATAAAAGCATGTTAATACAACAATTTGTACATGAGTGTTTATAGGAGCATCATTCATAATCCCAAGAAGTGGAAATAACCCCAATGCCCATGAACTGATGAGTGGATTAATGAAAAGGGCTATATCCGTACAATGGAATATTATTCAACGGCAAAAGGACACACCTTGAAAACCTTGTGATAAAGGAAAGAAGCAGCCACAGAAGGCCACGTATTGTGTAATTTAATTTACATGAAATGTCCAGAATAGACAAATCTATAGTGGCCACAAGTGGTTGGCCAGGGGACAGGACGGGGGCAGACAAGGAATGACTGCAAATGGGTACAGTGTTTCTCTGGAGGATGGAAATAATCTACACTTGGAGGTGGTGATGATTGTACAGCTCTGTCATTATACTAAAGGCCATTGAATTGTATACTTTTGTAGATGTATTTATGGTATGTGCATTCTATCTCAACGAAGATGTGTTTCAAAAGTACATAACATATGATTCGATTTATATAAGTATTGAAAATGCAAGCTAATCAATGATGACAGAAAACACCAATGGTTTCTCAGTGAGGGGAAGGTGGAGAGTAGGGAGAAGCGGGGGCGGGGTGGCAAGACTATAAAGGGACAGGACAAAATTTTGGTGGGTGATGGACATGCTCACTATCTTGATTGTGGTAATGGTTTCATGGGTGTATACATATGTCAAAGGTTATCAAATTGTAGCCTTTAAACATGTGCAGTTCATTGTACATATGGCTTGTTTTTTAAAAAGCCAGAGCACAAATGTGTGTGAAACTCACGAATCTGACAAATATTTACAGGGTGCTGGTATAGTGTTAGCTCTCGGGGATACAGTTGCAAGGAAAAGATGGGCCCAGTCTTCAAGCAACTAGTACTTTGTCAAGAAAGAAGCACATGTAATACAAGCTTTGCAGACACAGCTGGGAGTCATGGTCACCCTGTGGGAAGGTTTCCCGGATGTGTGGGCACTGAAGCTCAGCATTCCAGGCCAATGGGAGGTGGAGGTGGAAGGTGGGGTTTTGTGATGACATTATGGTCATCATCCATGACGCTACTGTAAGAGCAGCAGCAGGAGCACAGAGTATGTTCTTGCTACATCTCAGAGGGCATCTGATTTTATTCTTACCACATTAAAGCCACGCCCCCCAGGACTCACATGACAGTGGAATGGATTGCTGTATTAACATCCTGAACAATAAGTGCAAAGCAAAGACAGAACTTCCTTCATCGCCCTCAGCAGACTGGCTATGATTTATTTGCTTATGATTATACATTCCAGGTCTGTCCTTCAGCTATACTGTTTGCTGTGTGAGGGCCAGGACTGAGTGTCTCATTCACCTTCCTGTCCCCAGAAAACAGCATAGGGCTGGGCACATGTCAGGGTTTGATAAAGATTACTTGATGGTTGGTTTGGATTTGGGTTGATGTGGAGCTCATAGGAACACGTCTGACTGGTGGCCTTAGCCATGGCTTGCACTTTCTGTGGCTTTACGAGTGAAGCAGTCCAACTGCACCTGCCTCCATCCCCCATTGCTCTTGTCCTGGCTCTGGGCCCGGTCACGTCAGCTCGAGTCCACCCCGGCTTTGTCCTGCACGTCCGGTGTTAGGAGACTCTTCTTTGTGGTCCACTCCCAGAGGCTCCTGGGGTGAGGTTCTCGTGAGAAGGTCAGGACAGTCTGTCCTGGAGAGGGCAGCTCTGGACACTGGCCTGCTTTGGACAAGGTGGGTGTTCTTGGACCCTGGTTCAGGGACCACTCATGTGTTGTTTCTTCTTCTCTCCCTGTCTCTAGCACTTCTTTATGCCACCATCTTCGGGAATGTGACAACCATCTTCCAGCAGATGTACGCCAACACCAACAGGTACCATGAGATGCTCAACAGCGTTCGGGACTTCCTGAAGCTCTACCAGGTGCCAAAGGGATTGAGCGAGCGAGTCATGGATTATATCGTGTCCACCTGGTCCATGTCCAGAGGCATTGACACTGAGAAGGTAAGGAGGGTGACAAGCTCAGACAAACCACTTATCTGCTAGCTTTCCTGGGGAGACCTGGGTGCTCTCCCAGGGCACTTGTTTTCATGCCTGGCTGTACCTCAGAATTTACCAGGGTAGTTTTGTGTGTCCAGGTCCTACCTCCAGAGATTTTGATGGCTTTCAGATCAGCCTTGCTCAAAGACTAGCGATTAAGAGCCATTATTTAGAAAATTGGAAAGTCAGGGTATACCTCCCAGAGAAAAGAGGAGCTGGAAGTCTAACTGTCCAGGGTGGAATTTCCCAAACGCATGTGATAAGAATCAGGGCCACCCTTGGGTGAGGTCACTAGTATCACTGATATTTCTTCTGCCTCAGGGTAGGATGGCCCCAGGCAGCTTAGCACGGCTACTGATCCTGTGTTTATTCAGATTTTCAATCTTTTGCTCATCATGGACGTTTTGCATGAATTTTTAAAATATTTCATTAAATACACTGTAATTTATCTGGATTACTGACTTTTTAACATCCGCTTCAGTTTCATGCCCAAGGCAGTTTTGTGACCTCACTTTAGTCTTGGTCCCCCTGAAAAGAATCTCATGAAGTGATCATTCAAAGAAGATTCCCAGCCTCCACCCCAGACCCACGGCATGAGAACCTGGTGGGGAGGGTGTGGAGAGCCCGGAAGCCGGCATTTTCACAAGTGATCCTATTCCTCAGAGAGGGCCCGGAAATGCTGCGCTAGGGCAGTGCCTTCATCATCAGCTGACTTGAGCAGAGCTGCACCTAGCCACCTCCTTAGGCATCAGTTTTCCCACCTGGAAAATGGAAGTGGCCACAAATCCCTGTTGTTTTCTGCGAGTTGCGTTTATTGTTCTAGGTGCATTTCAATAAAGTGAAGAAAGTGTGGTGGTATAGAAAAGAATGAAGATAAGCGGACTTTCTATTATGCACTTGAGAATTATCTCCTTTTCATGTTTTCTATGTGCCCCAATGTAACACTAGGTGAGTTTTCCTCCGCTTTTCAGTCTTTCAACTACACTTCTCCTTTTATCGTCAGTTTGTAAGTACTGAGGAATGCTGATTCCTTCCATTGTTCGAATGAGGAAAACAAAGATAGCACTACTGCAAAAATGCCTTATGACACATCCAGAGCCAAATTCAGTTGGCTTTGGGCAACTCTTCATGCTCTAGTCTTCCTCCATTAGAATAGTCAGTTGAGAGTTGACAGTTGGAAAGGAAAAATTGAACTAAACTGATCCAAGTTTAAAAGGAACAATACTTTGGTTTGGTTAAGCATCTTCCATAATAATAGCAGTGACATCACACCGACATGGCAACACCAGCTACGGTGACTTGAATGTGCGTTAAGCACAGAAATCTACTTCCCTTCCCCACGCACCTGGTCCTGTATTCCTGCTTCCCCTAGGCACCCCTCCAACCCTGCTGCTATTTCTGTTGGAAGGGATAAGGACACAGAGGCCCAGTTAATTTTGTTAACTGCCCCGGGGTCACAGAGTTAAGAATGGTAAAGCTACCCTGGCCGAGTAGCTCAGTTGGAGCATCGTCCCAGTATGCCAAGGTTGTGAGTTCGATCCCCAATAAGGGCACATAAAAGAATCAACCAAAGAATGCATAAGTGGAACAACAAATGGATGTTTCTCTCTCCCTCTCTCAAATAAATAAATATACAAAGAAATAAAAACTTCTTTTAAAAAGTTGAATAAATAGAAAAACATACCTTTTTTAAAAAAACAAAAAGAAAAATGACAAAGCCAGAATTTGAACCCAGTTTTTCTGACTTCAAAGCTTATGCTTTTCTGACTGTCATTTTTTGAAAATGGAAAACATGTGCTGGAGGGAAGAAGGACGAGTCCAGACAGAGTTGCCCCCGTCTCAGACAAGCCAGGTGTCGGTGGGGCAGGACAGTCCCTGGCTGTGCCTGTCGTTTTTGCTCTGCTCTCTCAGCAAGGCCGTGGGTTCTGTGGGTGCCTGGGAGCTGATGGAGCAGAAAGGAACTTTGATGTCTCAGCCCCGGGGCTCCTTCTCCCAGGGGCCAGGATGCCTTTGGAAAGCTGGTTGTGGGAAGGAAGGCCCTTCCCCACCCTCACTGCAGGGCTGAGCTGGGTGGCTGCCCGAGGAGACAGCACCATCAGCACCGGCCCTTTCTGTCCCCCCTGTTGCCTCACGACCCTGGAGGGCTTTGGGATCTGCTCCAGGTTCTGATCGGACGAAGACGGGCTACTGTGTCATCTCACCACAGGGCTGGGCCTGGGGCAACTGCTCTTCCTCACTGGCAGCTGCTACGGAGAGGACCAGTCCCACGGACCCATGGCTCTCCAGGGGTCCCTTCTCCTCCATTCTGAGTCAGAATGGTCAGTGATGACCAGGGGACCGGGGCTGGGCTGTGTGGTAGTGGGGTGACAGTGTTGGGCTCATTCAGTTTACCATTTGTTGGCTGGTGACCTTGAGCATGTCACTTGTCCTTCCGAGTCTGTGACACCTGGAAACTAGATGACTTTTATACTAAAGCCAACCTCCAAGGCCCTTTGAGCTCTGACCCTTTGGACGTCAGAGCCTCTGTCAGGCCGAGCTACTACCCTCCTGGGTGGAGGACATCAGAAATGAGAGCCACATGCACGGAGCACTGGGTGTGCCAGCTCAGGGGGCCCTCAGCAGAGTCCTGTGTTCCAGTTCCACCGTGAAGACTGGGGGGAAAGCTAAGCATTGCTTCAAGTTCCCATGACCACTAAGTGCTAAAGCCAGGGACTGGATCCAGATCCAGCCAGCCCGAGGACCTGTTCGCTCAGCCAGCCGCTGTCCTGCCCAATCTGAGCTCCTGGAGCTCCTGTGGTGACATCTCTCTGTGGCCTTCGAGGCCTCAAGAGCTAGCAGATAGTCTCTTCTCAGCACCAAATAAAAGGAAACGTGGCCCATTTCAGGTCCTTGAGCTGACACCCGCCCTCAGAGACAGGGATTCGGGGTCCCCCAGCCCGCACAGTATGGAGCCCACAGAAGAAGGCTGGAGAGGCCTCACGGCCGTGACAGTCGTGATTTCCACTCCACGGCCCCTCTCCTCCTCACACGCACTTCCCAGTGGCTCGGGGAACAGAGCCCATAAATAAAATATTGTCACCATGCCAGGGTCTCGTTCAGTAGCAGCCTCTGCCAGCAAAGTCCAGCCAGGGGGAAACCAACTATTTAAAAGTGAACTTGAAAGAATAAATCTTAGTTTCGAATCACTGGGCACAGTTTTGACATGACATGTGAGCAGTCCACACTCCCTTGTGTTCTGTTTGGAGAGAAGAGCATCCAAATTAAATCCACATTTCTACAGAAGTCTTGTTTTTAATGAGCTTTAAAGAGGACAGTATTAGCAAACACTCCGCCCCAGCCTTGCTAGCCTGAATCTTCCTCCGTCTCTGCCAGCCCTTCCATCCCCTCTGCGGGAGAACGGGAGAACATGCTGGCCGCCTCAGCATCCTGAGGCCCCAGGGCAAGAACACAGAGGGAGGGACTGGCATTTATCGAGTCTCCTGCTAGGACCAGGCACTGTCCCGAGGAAGTATGCTGGGAGATGCAATTTTATTTAATCCTCATCAGCCAATGTGGGCAATGTGTATTTTACAGGCCACCAAAGGCTAGAGTAGTTAAATCACTCAGAGAAGAAGGAGGTGGGGTTTCAATGGTTTGCCCTCTTCCCACTGCCACAGCTCTGTGTGGAGCTCGGGGGCACCTGCGAGGGGTGGGGTGTGAGCAAAGCTGTCGAGGGTAAGCTGAGATTTGAGCTGGGTTTTGAAGGAAACTGCAGGATTTCCAAAGTCCATGGTGAACCCCAGGCACAGAGGCAAATGGCCTGGGCTAAGGCAGAGAAGCAGGGACAGGGAAGAAAGCAGCACACCAAGGAAATGTCCTCACAGGACACGGCTGGTTTTATGGCCTCAGCTTTGTTCCCAGGCTAGGATGGGAGAGGGGTTAATTTAGGAACACTCCTAATTTCTCTGAAAAAGTCCACTCGGGGCCTTACCGTGTTACTTAATATGCAAGGGGCTATGCTATGGTTTTATGGCAAAATTTTGTGCAGGGAGATAGTTCTCCCACTAGAGCAGGCTGAGGAAGCCTTTTGTCTTTGAAGCATGAGACCTGCATGGCCTCCTACATTCGCATTTGCTTGGATTTCTGAAATGCTAAAAAGCAAATCACAAGCCCATTTTTTGGGGGGGGCAGCCACATGATGTAAGAAGTGGTTAGTAAGTAATCTAGGCTCTGGAGTCCAGCTCTGGAGTCCAGCTACCTGGTTGAAGATCCCAGCTCCGCCATTTCCTGGCTGCGCCACTTTAGGCAAGCTAGTATCTTCCCTGTGTCCCAGTTTTCTCATCTGCAAAATGGTACAATAGCAGACCTTACATCCTAGGGTTTATGTGAGGATTAGATTAGCTAATGCTTGAAAATGTAAAATCACAACCCTCCCTGACTTGCCTTCTCTTTCTTTACTATTCTTTTTAGCACTTACTGTTAAATTATTTTGCCTATTATTTGTCTCCTCCCACCAGGTGTTAAGTTACATGAAGGCAGGGATTTTGTCCATTTTGTTCACTGCTCCATCCTCAGAACCTAGAATGGTTCCTGGCATAAAATGAGATGCTGTAAAATAAGTATGAAATGAGTGAACCACCCTAAAGTACTTAGCAATACATGGCACACAGTAAGTGCTTAGTAAATACTATTTATGTCTCTCTTTCAATCACACCCATATTCCAGCCTTCTGCAGATTGTCGGCTCCATCTTTGAAATGTGGTCTGAATATGATCAGTTCTCACTGGCTCCACTGCCAGCGTTCAAGTCCAAGTCTCCTAGGCTCGTAGGTCACACCTGCGGGAGTGACCTAAACTTGATGTCAGAGGCTCACGTGGAGACCAAGGGAGGCCTCATCCCAGTGACAGTGTCCAGGTTCTTGTCTCCACATGAGAGAGGATTTGAGAACTAGACAAAAGGATTCAGTGAAGCACAGGGTTTTATAAAGAGAAAATACACACTCAGATGGGGAGTGCATCACCCTGGGGGTCTTGGGGACTGGGCTTATATTTGGGTTAGTGGGGATGAACTCCTAAAGGTGTGGGTCTGGGTGGAGTGGAAGCAGAGCAGGTGAGGCGCCACCTTCCCAATGGGAAAGGGAGTTTCTATCCTTCTTTAGTCTTTTCTGAAACTGCATGGTGTTGGTGCATGATGGGTACAGGTTTATCTGCAGTGCTAATGTTATTATAATGGATTATAATTGACCGTAGGTCACCTTTTGGGGTCAGGGTGCCTGGCCCAGCTGGATAGAACAGGACCTTATTTGTCTCTGCAGTTTTCCTTGCAAGCTTGCTTCCTCTTGCAAGCTGTTTCCATACAGAGGGGGTGGAGGAGGGGCCCAGCACCTCAGTCTGACTCTCCTGCCACCATTTGACCCCTTGCCTCCATTCTTGCTCTCTGAAAGTCGGGACCCTCTGACTTCATTCTGTAGCTGTATTGATCCCCTAAAATATATAGTTCAGGTCCCGTCACCTCCCTGCTGGAAATCCTCCAGTGTGTCCTCATCACACTCAGAATAAATCAAAAGCTTTGCATCCCTGAATGTCTCTACACACTCTCTTGCTTGGCGTTCTCCCATAACCTCATCCACCCCTTTCCCCTCATTCACATTGGCTTTTGCTGCGGTCTCCTCACAGCCTTAGTTATTCTTCTGGAATGTTCATTCTTCACAGGGCTCCCTCTGACACATTATGAAGGTGTCAACTCAAATGTCACCTCAGAGAGGCCTCCCCCAGCTACTTAGAGTCCCACATTCTTCCAGCCCCCCTGCTCTCAGGACCCGCTTCTGAGCAGTTAACACGGGTTTTTTGTGGTCACTGCCTCCCACAGGCAGTAAGCACCATGGGGCCAGGGACCCGCTGTCTTGTCCACCAGGGCCGGGAGTGCCGTCTGGCCTCTGGGGGTGGAGGGGGCACGTGCTTCCGCACCCAGGTGTGGAGCAGCGATGAGCTGTAGGCCTCAGTGAGGAGCGCCCTGACACTCTTCCTTCCCCTGCTCGGCCAGGTCCTGCAGATCTGCCCCAAGGACATGAGAGCTGACATCTGTGTGCACCTGAACCGCAAGGTGTTCAAGGAGCATCCGGCTTTCCGGCTGGCCAGTGATGGCTGCCTGCGGGCGCTGGCCATGGAGTTCCAGACAGTGCACTGTGCCCCGGGGGACCTCATCTACCACGCGGGAGAGAGTGTGGACAACCTCTGCTTTGTGGTCTCCGGCTCCCTGGAGGTGATCCAGGATGACGAGGTGGTGGCTATCCTAGGTAGGTGTTGCCTCTGCTGGAAGGAAACCTTCTGGGGCCCAAGATTATGGCTTAGCTATTGGGCAGCCTAAGGCCACTGCTGCCTTCAACCAGAGATTGCACCAGGGGGAGGAACAACTGTTAGCATCTGTGCCTGTTTCCAACAAATAGTTGAGTGCCTGTTTTGTGGCACTTGGGGTATTGCAATGACAGAAATGGGTTTTGTCCTCAAAAGCCACCCAGTCAACTGGGGAGAGAAACAAATAAGCAGACACCTGCATACAGTGGAAGGAGCACCTAACCCTGTATTCAAGTGTTGGGAGGGCTTCCTGGAAGAAATGACACCTAAACTGAAAGACGGATGTTGAGACTGAGTTAGCATGGAGAAGAGACAGGACAAAGGAGAGTTCTAGGCAGAGGGAGCAGCATGTGTGAAGTCCCTGCAGAGAGAGAGCATGGTTTATGTGCAGAGCTGGATTGCACACATCGAAGGGGCATCTGAGAGATGGAGCTGGGGAGGCCACCGGGGCGAGGCCAGCTGTGCAGGTGCTGGGATCCACGTTAAAGGACTTGGATTTTACTTTGGGGGAGCCAAAATGAAGGGCTTAAAGCAGGGGAGGGGCACGATCAGATTTGTGCTTTAGACAGGTGACAGTAGTTGCAACGTGGAAGGTGGATTGAAAGGAGAAGTCTGGGGATGGCAGGTGAGAGTGAAAATATGTCATCCAAGGGGCAAGTTGATGGTGAGCCTATGAAGAGAGGCAAATGGAGCTGTCCAACAAAAAGCAGAATCAACAGAGCCTGATGAAGGATTTGCTGTGGGAGGAGAGGAGAGAGTCTGGGAGGGTTGTGGGGTTTCTCACTTGGGTAACAGAGAAGCTGGTTCGCCAGACACTGTGGTAAGGAACCAGGAGGCAGAGAGACATGTGGGGCACACATCGGTGTTTTCCATGTTGAGCATCAGTGGCCTTTGAGAGATTCATCCAATTGCCTGAGGTAGCTTCAGGGCAGCTCCTGATCGGGGGCATTTTACTCTGAGTGGACAGGCCATCATAATAAGATCATGGTCAATTCATGACCAATTCATGGTCATCTATTCTTCACCAGGCATTTTACATACAGATTCTCAGTGAGCCCTTAGAGTAGCCCTGTGAAGTGAGTGTCTTATCCCTGTTTTATGTATGAGACAGTGAAAACTCAGAGAGGTTAGGAGACTCTCCCAAGACCTCACAGCTGATGAGGTCCCTGGAGCCAGCCTCCGGGAGTCCCTCAGACTCCAAAACCTCCGCTCTGCCTCACTTTGTAATACTGCAGTCCTGATGATGATTTGTGTGGTTTGCTGGTCCATCAAGCCGCCAGGTACTGCTAGACATTGCACACATACACGAGGAGGAACCCAAAATTTATTTATAAAAAATTGTGTATTTATTCTTATATGTTTAAGCTTCAGCCACCTTCAAAGTACTCTCCATTAAATGCAATGCACCTGTCAAGATGCTTTTTCCACTGCTCAAAACAAGCTTTGAATTTGTTGATTTGATGCCTTCTAGTGCTTCCGCCATTTTTTGTTTCACCTCTTCCACATTGGCAAAACCTTTGAGGTCTTTTTTTTAATCCAGAGAAACAAACAAACAAAAAAATCATTGGGGGAGAAATAGGGTGAATAGAGAGGGTGGGGCAGGGGGGTCATGCCATTTTTGGTCAACAACTGCTGAACACTCAGTGCAGTGTGGGCAGGTGCACTTGTAAACCACCATCATGAGATGGGCCAATGCATTGAAAATGTCTTCCAAAAAAAATTCACCGAAGCCAAGTACAGCTTCCCACAACAACCTTAGCTGGTGCACTGATACAGATGGGTTCCTAAAATACTCACCCAGCGGGGGAGGCCTGTACTACAAGGGGCCCGCCCTCCGGAAGATAATTCCAGGGGTTTTATTTTGATTCCCCATATTTTAGGAATCTGAGACAGAGTGATTACTGAATTTTAGGACTATAAGACGCACCTAGGTATTAGAGGAGGAAAATAGGAAAAACATTTTGAAGCAAAAATGTGGTAAAATAGTTAATAACCTGTGACCCCGTTCCACCGCCACCCCCCACCCTGCCCCTGCCACAGTGAGCCAGGTAAGCTACATTCGGACTATAACACGCACCCCCTTTCCTCCCAAATTGGAGGGAGGAGTGCATCTTACAGTCCAGAAATACAGTAAGTTACACCAAAGTTAGAATTGAAATTCAAACTGAATATCTTGACACAGTATTTTTTTTTAATTCCAAACTTTGTCCCTGTTTAGCCTTTGAGAGTATAATATGCAGCCTCCTCTTGCTCCCTCGGCCCCAAGCGACCTTGTCCTCTTGGTTATGTTCTGCTCAGGTTAATAATCAAGGATGATTTCCATTACTTCAGCATTTGGGTGGGGGAGAGAGGCTGCCATTGTTTGCTAAAGTAAGTGTTCTGGATTCCGGCGTCCACTGCATTCTACAGACAGGGTTATCCTGTTCTCTGCCTTTCCCATCCACGCGATGTGAGGTTTGACTGTGTATGAACAGGACGTCCATTACTTTATTGTAGCTTCAGGGAAGTGACATTTACCCCTGCCTTTAATCAGTGTCCCTGATAAAGAGGACTTCTCATTAATAATAGCAGTCAGGATGTTTGCCTCGCTGAGAGGAGGAGTAACTAGTGACCAGTAGGCTCTCCTCTGAATTGAATTTGAATTGATCCTGTGGTGTAGGGCGTCTTTCACTCATCCCTCCTCCCACCCCCAATAATTCACCATATGCCTTTCCAAGGAATGCTGTTCACCTTTCATACTCATGCTCAGGGCGCCCTTGTTGGTGCCCCCTCAACAGCTGCACTGTCAGGAGTTGAGAGTGGACACCTAGCCATGGAAGTGTAACAGGGCCACAGGGGAGCGAGGAAGGAAAATGACTATGTCCAAGCCATGTCCCGTTTTCCCCTCAGCCGGGGCTTCTTACGGGCTTGATTTATTGTTGGTTTACCTGGTCAACTGACTGCTCCTCCAGATCCAGCCCTCTGCCTCGGGCCTTCCTGAGCATCCTGCCTGCTCCAGTTAGCAATGCCCTCAAGCTGTCCGGACTAGAAAAAGCATCTTCCGTGTGTCCCCAGTGGCCGGGACATTTTAAGAGGCTCTTCTTCTATAAAAGGATGATACAAGTTCTTTGAGTCAACCTGACCTCTGGATCAGGACACATTAAGAGGTTCCAAGCTATTTGCTTTCTGTAAACTTAAATTCAGGGCTGTTTTTCTCTGATTAGAATACCTTTTGCCCAATGAATAGAAATCAGTTTGTTCTTACAAAGGGGGTTCAAGCATAGGATGGTTATGAGAACTAGATCTTTATTGCCCTTTGATGCCCTTCAGTTCAACCCAGCTGAAATTTATTGAACCCTTGCCAGGCACTGTCAGAGGGGTGGGGATGCAGCTGTGGACCCAACAGTAGCCCAGCCTTCAAGGAGCTTCAGTGGAGGAGACCAACATTACTAAAAAAGCAACAATCACACTGTGTGGTACGTGTAATCATAGAATGCAGGTGCTTCTAGAGGGTCATTGGACAAGTAATTATTGAGCAGCTGCAGTGTATCCAGTGCTCAGTGATGAAGGGGAATGGCTAGGTCATCTTTAGTTACCACAGGACAGGAGTCTTTAGAAAAAAAAAAACCTCATTTATCTTATCTGTTTGGTTTCTAGCCCCTTGTTATCAGTTCACTCATTTACTTTCTGCTGATTTGTTTCCTGCCTTGAGTTCTAATACTCCACCCTATCCTCTGTTTAATTTTAGCACAGACTGCAGGAGTGAGGAAAAAGGTCACTGTTCATAACTGAGTGGGTCTAGTGTACATTTTAAGAGAACCTTTCGTAATGCGAGAGTTCTACAGGAGGGTTTTTCAAACTTGCTTGACTGCAGCTCACCATATGAAATGTTTATTACATCAAGAACTAATCAACATGTGTGCACACAATTATACATAAAACTCAGTACTTAGTTTTGCTACATAAAATGCAGCTGGCCTTTTCTATTAGATTCTATTATCTTTCATTTAAAAAGAAATCGACTCTCACGACCCACTAAGTTTCTTTCTTGACCTGCTTCAGCCCCCAGTTTAAAAGCACAGTCCCACACACGTAGACCATATCTTTCTAGGAGTGAAGAAGGCCATGCTGTGTCCCAAGGACAGAATATACTAAACAATCTGTTATGAGTTTCTTTTCTGCTGATGTTCTCTGCCTTAATTTTGAAATGACACCCTCGCAATCTCCTTTTGGAATTCTCTTAGAAATCATTTAATGTCTTCTTAAATTTAGTTTCTCACTCTGCAAAATAAATTTAAGATTTCACCATATGCATTTTTATTATATTTTAAAAAATAAATTTATCCTAGTTTTTCATAGATGTGAGAATAAAAAAAAACACAGACATCCATTTCAGCCCCTGACCAAGCAGTACTATTAGCATTTGCAAGTAACTCTCAGTTTTTCCCAGTTTGCATTTCATGGCCAAAGTGGGTGAGTCCATCAGGGCTGTGCTTCAGTGTGGTCCATCTCTGTGAGTTTCCATCTTATACAAGTAGTATTTAAATGATCTTGTTTCACTGTGACTTAATGTTTCTGGAGTTACTTTTATGGGTCCTGCATTTTAATACTTAAGTTGTAGTTTAATCATGGATCATCTTGGGTCTTTTGTTTTGTTTTATTTCATTCTACTGGGCGAGACTGAGGTCTTTTTGGCTGGGCTGCCTTAAGTAGTGTAAAGAGCCCTGGACCTGGAGCTCTTGCTCTGCATTAACTCCTGCAGGAGTTACCACTCATAGGTTAAGTCTCCAGGGCCTCCTGTGGTTCTGCTAAGCCCGTCACAATGCATCAATCACATTTCCTCATCTACCTCTCCTATGAGCTGAGATCCTTTGATTTCATATCTCTGGCTTAGCCCAGCACATGGCTTAGCTCAGGCACTAGAAGCTACTTTTTTAATTGAATTGAATTTGAGTAGAATCAA